AAAGAATTCCAATATTTACCGTTAAACTTTCCATGTTTCTCTGAACTCGTAAGAAAAACGCTGGGAAATCAATATCGCGAAGCACGATAAATATAACTAAATATAACTCGAATAGATCAAATTAAAAGCACAAAAACATTCGACGACTCCTGTAGAAAATTCGTAGTATTTTAGTGTTTTTTTATTTTTCCTCGTCGCTAGAACTGTACGCTAGCGGGAGAGAATTACGGCGACCGGATAAAATTGCGCAAGTTTCCCCGTATATTAGCAAAGTCTTAGTCCCGTTCTCAAGTTAACCAACGACACAATTACGGCTGAGCTGAATTAATGATTGCAGACGCACCGCGGGTGGTAAATTATTCACGAAATCGTATCGTTTCCTCGAAACTCTATGCAACAAGTCGAACAATGAGACGGTTTTCATTAAACTCTTAATTCGAGAAACGTACTTAACGCTAGAAAGACTGAAACTTAGTGTATACCTATATTGGCCAAAAGCAGGCAAAATCACTGGCATCGTGAAAGAATAACTAATGTGCAAAGAAATTTTTTTCGCAAAAGAAATAAAATAAACAACTTGTTAGAACAAGTATCACTGCATAAAGATTCGAATAACAAGTACTAGTTTAGCTTATTGAGAAACTGCAACTTATCAAGTATACGCCCAAATCGACAATTTATCGTGTACTTGTATGTTATCGCGTGTCGATAATCGAAAAAAAATGAAAACTGAAAAATGAAAACAATTCGATAATAAGAGTCATTTGATTATTTAAAATTTAAAAAGCAGTCGAATTGACTTCCTTGGGCGATCTAGTGTCAATTGGTTCGCTGTCTGTGCCCCGTATGTGGGTCATATCGTCGCGCTTTTGGATACGCCGCTGAGAAATCGAACAGTGAACGCGTTAATCGTATCCCGCCATTGAGAATCGCGAACCGAAACCGTTTGCCCGATAATAAACTTTCACGTTTCCGACGATTATTTTGGCGGTGTCGACCGCGATTCGACGAATATTTATAGACGATGATTTCCGCGTTATGTTCGCGTATCTCCCGAGCGCGAAGAGGCTACGTTTAGCAACAATAACGACCGCGATTACTTAATCCATTACGAATCAAATGTATTCCGAGAAATCCGCGTAACGGAGATCTTCGAGATCCACGCAATCGCCAACGAAGCAGTTTTTCTTAAGCTGGAAGATGGGTCGTGGAGGATCACCGGTAATCGACGAAATATATTTCTGCATTAATTCAACGCGAACGGACTAGAGAGAGAGAGAGAGAGATTGGTCCAACGAACAATTTCAGAACGGGTGGCGCGAAAATTGCATACCGCCGGTCGCAATTCGAGCTGACTCCGAGTCCCATAAATCACCGCGTAGAAGTAAAATGGTGTATAAAACTTTTCGTCCTTGCCGCTCTTTTCCGCCTTTGTTCCCGCCGGTGGGGTCGGATATTACGCGTCCAACTTGTGAACCACGGTCCACGAGCGATTCGTAACCGGTCCACGAGCTACGAACAATTTTTATTCGACGGAATATTCTCACCGATCGCACGTACAAACCCTCCATTTTCATCTGATTATACCGTCCTCTGTATGCATTGTGCTCGTCCCCCCGGAAAAGAAGTAAAAAAAAATTTGTCGGAATTTACTTTGATCTACGGTCACGCGAGGGTGTAAATAATTTTTCAAGACGCCCAGCTATTACGAACGTTTGTTTGTTTCGAGCGAAATAATTCATCCCTGAAGAGGTTAAAAATAAATTGGCACGTCGACGGTTCGTTAACAAGAATGGCCGGCATCGAGCGGGCAAATTAGTTTTCGTGTTCGTTTCGTGGGACGCGCGAACTAAACGCGTAAACGCCTGGAATTATATATAGGTAGGTGCAAACATTTAAACGATTTACTGCTCGAGACAATTTATCGGTAGACGGAGAACAGGAAGTACGCGCCGACGGAACTTAACCGGGCGACACCTGGCTTCGCGAAAGTTTAATTAGGAACGTAAACGTTGCCAATGAAACTTTCGCCCGTTACACAGATCGCGAGAAAAATACGACCAAGTTTGAATTCCCCGTGCGACGAAACTTTTCCGATTTTACTTCGCTGGCCAACGGTTGGAACGTTCGATCTGTTATCCTGTTTCCCGATCGCGCCACTACGGCCGCTTAATCGCTCTAATTTTTATTCCTTCTGTTTCCTGAAATATTCGTCGTGTCGCGCGAGCCGTTTCGAAATGTATCACGAATCGGTCCGGTTCGAAATTAAACGACGTGTGACGGGGCTCCATCGGAAACAGCGGTACATCGATGCGTTAAATCGATATAGAAACACAGAGGGAAACCGCGCCGGGGCTCGTGTACAAAATCGACGACGCGGAAATTAGGAAAGGACAAATTAACGACAGCTCGAAACGTGCCGATCAGCGCGCGAGAACGCGCGTAAATGGTACGGAAACGATCGCGTTCGATCGAAAATGTAACCGTCCGTGACCAGCCATCTGCGCCGTTACGCTATTTTAAACTCGCGGGCATATTTTCGGCAATTAATTCCCGAACGCCAACGCTCGTGAAAGAGAAATACATAAATTGTCGCAGGAACACGGATTTCTCCGCGCTGAAATGAACAACAATGGCATCCGCGCGCTTCGCGATCGACATTTATGACAATTCGTATTATTTTTAGCCGTGCTTCGCTTTCGGGGGGGGCCAACAATTCTGATTTTTGTACATTTGGTTAAATTTGACGAAAATAGTAGATTAAAATGTCGGAATCAACTGTATCGATAGTTGAACTTAGTTGGTAAGGAAGTTTGTGGTACAAGGACTAACATTGGCTGTCGTGTGACACGCCGGCGGGTCACACCTTTTTTAAAGAGAATTTCTCGATGATATATGGTGGATACGCAAGTAAAATTGAATAATTTAAATATATTGATGTATACACACTGGAAAAATAAGACGAATTAATTGGAAAACATTGAAATTACCACCCCAATTATGCAGGTTATAATTCCTGAAATTGTTCGGGCACTCAACATGTTAACGGCCATATTTGATACACCGATGCTGCACAAATATGGTCTAATTATCGGTAAGTACGTTGGCTCGAGTGTATGTATTTATTTATACAACCAAATTAAATACTGACCACTTGTTAAATAAATGAGATGTAATGCATCAACAATGATCGAGAATTATGTACGAATGGTACAAGAATGTTTGATCCCCCGAAACGAAGTTTAACATAATTGTTTACTCACGTATACCGTTGCAAATTCTTGACCAGGTTTTCGTCCATGACAAACAACGTCAGGCAGCAACCTCTCATGTTCCATCGGCGTAAATATCATAGTCTTGTGTTTGCTGATGACTCTACACTCGGGTTTTATCACTTCCAGTTCGTTTCACGCGTTCGATTCCCCAAATTATAACGAGCAACGCACCATACAAAGGACAGTAAGTGTCTGATTCATCGAGGACAAACATTGTTTACGTCTCTACCGTTTATAAAAGCGCGGTCGAGGTTAACTGTTTACGTCTTATGAACGATCGTGCAATGGGAACCTTCGTCGTCGTATCGATGGGTCAACAAACTTTCCGATCCCTCAACGATTACAATATCGACGCTAAATTACTGCACACTCTTTTCCAAGGACAAAACTTTCCGATTTTCAAACGATTATGCACGACCAGAACACTTTTATGACTCTTGCACAAAACGATGCTATGTGGCGCCACGGACCAATCAGAAGCCTTCCCGCGTTCCGTGACGTCATAAGACTGACCGGAAGGCGGGAAAGGAAGTAACCAAGATTTCTGGAAGAATTTTTTTACAGAAAGATATTTTAAGACGTCCTAATCATGTCTTGATCAATGAAAAATAATTATCTTTTTAATTTGCACATTTAGAGAGAATGCAACATGTACCGAATCCCATACGTGAAATAAAAGATAACCCTACATTTTTTCCTGCTACTGCATCTTACGAACGATCGTACAATCGGAACCTTCGTCGTTGTTTCGATAGGTCAGCAAACATTTCGATCCCTCCACGATTAGAATATCGACACTAAATTACTACTCACTCTTTTTTAAGGACAAAACTTTTAATAACAATTTTACACGACTAGAACCCTTTTATGACTCTTGCACAAAACGATGCTATGTGGCGCCACAGGCCAATCAGAAACTTTCCCGCGTTTTGTACATCACAACACTGACCGGAAGGCGGGAAAGGAAGTAACCAAGATTTCCGGAAGAATTTTTTTACCAGAAAGATATTTTAAGACGTCCTAATCATGTCTTGATCAATGAAATATAATTATCTTTTTAATTTGCACATTTAGAGAGAATGCAACATGTTACGAATCCCATACGTGAAATAAAAGATAACCCTACATTTTTTCCTGCTACTGCATCTTACGAACGATCGTACAATAGGAACCTTCGTCGTTGTTTCGATAGGTCAGCAAACAGTTCGATCCCTCCACGATTAGAATATCGACACTAAATTACTACTCACTCTTTTTTAAGGACAAAACTGTTTTCTAACAATTTTACACGACTAGAACCCTTTTATGACTCTTGCACAAAACGATGCTATGTGGCGCCACAGGCCAATCAGAAACTTTCCCGCGTTTTGTACATCACAACACTGACCGGAAGGCGGGAAAGGAAGTAATTGAGATTTTCAGAAGAATTTGTGCGTTAAAACATGTTTTAAGAAGACCTAATCACTGAAAAAAAATTATTTTTTTAATATGCATATTTAGAAAGAGTCCAACATGTTCCAAATCCCATAAGTGTAATAAGAGATAATCCCGCGCTTTTTCCTGTAGATCAGAGCCAAATAATCCCCTCATTATTTCGTATTTTATTAAACATAAATAAATAACTATTAAAGTTCTGATGATTGTTCAATATTGAATCGATTAAAATTCGAATAACAGATCCTTTCACCGACTATCGTGAAAATAATTCATCCTTTCTAATTGCAGATTTCTGGTAAACTTCCCGGAAGGTCTCGGGAGAAAGAGCGAGACGGCAATTACCGCAAGATCAAGAGACGTTGCAGATGTACCTACGGAAAGCCTCCGGGAATTCCATCGGGATCGGGCAAATTGAAATTGATTCAGTGTCGCTTAACGGAAGACCCGAGACACGGAAACCGAGATAGCAGTTCGAAGCGTCGATAAGATAAAGTCTCCATCATGGTACCGAAACTGTTCATCCTCGGCTCTCACAAAATTAAGAGGTAGTGAGAGTCGAATCGAGAAGAAGGAACTTCAATTTTCACGAGGATCCTACGAATTCGCTGATGAAATCAAAGAGCAACGCGACGAGGGTCAAGATCAAAGTTGATCAAACAAATTTCTTCCCGTAGAAAAACTTCTCTTCGCGAGAGGAGCCCGGTTTGCTCGACGAACAGAACCCGATCGAGTTGATAAGAAGTCGTGAACGAACGTAATCGATCGAAGGATCATTCAAAAATGGTGACGTGAAATCGAAACGGGACGACAGAGGGGACCTTCACCGATGAAGAAGCAGGCGAAGAAACGGAACAAAGGCAGCCCGAAACGATGGAAACGAGCTACGAAGCCTTGAACGGAACCAGTCACTACGATGCTGGTCAATTATCGAGAAATTTCACGGCAAACGAGAACGTATCGGAAACGTTAGAATGTAGAGAAGAGATAAATTCGAACGCTATATTCAATTTCATCATCTGCGGCGTGCTGGTGAACTTGGTCGGTATTTTCGGGATATTCGGCAACGCGATCTCGATGATCATCCTCTCGAGGCCGCAGATGAAGTCATCGATCAATTACCTACTGATTGGCCTGGCCAGATGCGATACGATGCTAATCGTTATTTCGGTAAGTTCGTTGGCCCTTACCTACGAACAACCGTCTTTCTATCAAAGAGCTTATTTCCAAACCGCCTTGAGTCATCATCGATCTACGGAATTGATTATTGTCAGATTATTGTCAGTTTATGATCACGAATTGTTAGAATACGAAAATGGATAATCTACTAATCGGCTCGCTGAATGCTAACAAGAATGGAGGAATGGACGGTATTCATCCCGGTCTAATTAAATCCTGTCAACATATTATCTCTCGAGCTCTCTGGGCAATCGTTGATAAATCCCTCGCGACAGGCCTGCTTCCCGAATTATGGACAATAATCCTGATTCGTAAGACCGTTGACAAATCCGACGCGAAGAATTATAAATCCTTGAAATATATTTTTCTGTAAATATTCGAAAGCATCGTCAGGGGTATACACTTTGCTTGATTAAAAACGTCACCCCGGGCGAGCAACATGAATATTTCCGAGTCGTAAGCCGATTTCATTTACAGAGACTTCAAGAAAGCTTTCGGTGCCGCCGACCATAATATTCTTATAGCAAAATTACGTAGATGTAACATTTCGAGTCCAGTCTTACCCTGGATCCTTATTCGTTTTAATAATTCATACTCCGAGTCTACCGAGGTCAAATCATATTGGCTTCATATCGTCAATTATATGTATATGAACGATCTAAAAGAATGCAATATAAAGGTATATTCTGGATAACAATGTTAGATCAATACGTCGTGTTACCTTTCAACTATCTGGCTGCACATGATCGAAACCGTCTTATTTTTATAATTGTTGATTTCGCTGCGTCGTTGGCGTAAATCCCACAGTTTAGTAAACAAGCACGATGATTCATTAGGTGCATTCCTCGGTGATAATAACATACTTTGTACCAAAAATACGCGCAGCAACGATCAGATAAGCGTAACTTTCTCAGCTTCGTATCCGTTGAACTTAAGAGGTTTCCGAAATAAGCTCTTTAATTGTGCTTGGAAGCTCGAGTTTACAGCCTCTAAAAATTTACGCGAGCATTACGACCGGTCTCTTCTTAGCTCGTGAGAGCGCCTTAAAAGGGTTGGTCGCGGCGGAGTCTTAAATCCGGAGAGCGTAAAACACCGAATAAAAGATACAAAAGTATCGTTTCGTTATTGCTTCGCCCGGTGAATATTCTGGCGCGGGTTTTACAACAGACGCGACGGCCGGTCTCTTGGGCGGCATGCACGCTACGATCCACGCAACGACAAGCACCGGGTTAATTTATTCTTGTGGTCGGACGCGAAAGCTCGAGGAACTTGTAACTCGCGGCGAAACAAGCCCGAATTAACGGACTCGACTCTCTGCACGACCATGATTTAAACGTCGTTAACATGGCGCGCGTACAACCGCGACCGAATACCGTGAAACTTCCTCGAGCGATCCATTTGTGTTCCAAAAACGGTCTTTGTGAATCCCCACGAGACTCGAATTATCGGAACGATACCGGTTCCTGATAGAAGTGGCCGAGTATCTCGAGCAATCGGGTAGCTGTTTACTCGCAGAAAATATCTCCCCGTTCCAACCGCCGGGTTACGTAAACCGCCGCAGCCTCATTGCCAAATAAACTTCTCGAGGTCAATATCAAGATCCTCGAGGGTATCTACAGTAGCGGTCGAGAATTTAAGACGGCTATCACTTTGATAGATATTACATACACTAACGTCTTATCTATCAAGAATATGGTCGCCTTCGACTATCGACATCTACCGTGTCTAACGATTGGAGCGCGATTTACATACTCGAATCGAGGAAAATGACAAACTCGAGACGGGATTTCCCAGGATAATCCCAGATGTTCGATCTGTTCCGACCGCCTCGTCCCGGAACTTTCGTCGACCGGCGTGGATTAAACGCAAAGAAAACTTGTGACGTTTCCAGGTATTGATTTACGGCTTACCAGCGATTTACCCGTACACCGGCCTCCTGTTCGACTACAAGTTCATCGTCTACCCGAAGATCGTGCGATTCCTGTACCCGTTGTCGTGCATAGCGCAAATAGCGACGGTGTATCTGACGCTGACGGTGACGCTGGAGAGGTACATAGCGGTCTGCCATCCCCTGAAAGCAAGATCATTCTGTACGTACGGTAGAGCTCAGCTGGCTGTGCTGATTATCGTGGTGTTCTCTCTTATTTACAACCTACCAAAGTGAGTGCTTCTGCTTACGCGTGCAGTTACGTTTTTTGCGAACGGAAATATTCATAGAAGGCTTATCCGCAGATTCTGGGAGATAGACATCTACACGGAGGTTCACTGGAAATACGACGTCACGGTGTACTGTCTGTACCCGGCGGAGCTGAGAAGCAACGACTTGTACGTCACCCTCTACGTCCACTGGATGTACTTCTTCATTTGCTACTTGTTCCCGTTCTTAGCTCTGGTGATCTTCAACGCAGCCATCTATCTGAGGGTGAGCATCGTCGGCGGTCACTGAAAAAAATTAATATTATAGTATCTTTGCAAGGGACCTGTTGAGGTGTTCGATTTGGTTATCAACGCGGTAGGAATATTCTCGTGGCAGTGTCACATCGTCGTATCACGACCAGGGCAATTTTCTCGGTTCGATTAAAAATCATGAACCATGCACGCGAAGACCGCGCGCGCGCCTGACTTTAATTTATGTGCAAACGACTCTTGGACTTACGGAACTACCCGAACGCACGGCGAACGAAGCGTGAAAACGTGGACGAGGGAGAAAAAGCCTGGGGGACGCGAATTTCTCCCTGCGACCCAGTTCCATGATACCCATAATTTGCAAAAAGAACTCGAAATTTCGAGGGATCCTACCCCTAAAAGTTCTAAATAAAAATAAAAATATTGAAGTTTTTCTTCACGAGAAAATGTACTGAAAAATGGCGACGAGCAACCGCTGGGTTTTTCCACGGATCTCTCTAACATTACTCCAAGATTTTAATTGAGTAATAAACTGTAACTCCGTACAGTCAATCTCTGTCTCAGCGTTTAACGTACACAAGCATCGCAATGCAATTCTACAGATTGTCCTCCCGACGTTAATTTTATTCGAAGATTGAACGGATTACGTTTTACCCATACCAGAGGTTGTACTGTAAACAGTGGTGGTTGGTAAGTCATAATTTACGTCGCATGTTACAGTTTCTAACGTGTTACCGCAATATCGTACATACGGTCGTACGTACGTGAAATCTAGTTTACGGACGCATACATAACTCGCACACATTTCGCTGCTGGAACTGCATAACGCGGATAAAATCGTGGCCGATTTTACGTTCACGCAACATACCTGCCCGTGGAACACGTTTCGCGTTTACGTTCGCGCGAAAACGAAACCGTTCGACTACTTAACGAAATTAATATTTGTTCTCGACGGTCGTGAATCCTCTCAGTCGCGTATTAATAATTGCAATTTCGTTTGAAAGTTCTCGAAAAGGGCTATGTCTCATCTCCATTTATCGAACACGTTTGAGAAGTGCGAGAAGAGAAAATAACTTTGGGAATAAAAGGAAGTTTAACGAATTCCATAAAACGGAAGATTCCGCAGACCGAGTACACTCGGTATTCCTGGGAGATTCCGCGTAAGTGTTTCGAAGATAAAGCGGCGGTAAAACGCGAAAGTGACGGTTCCAGCATCCAGCAGTAAAGATACACCCCTTCTGGGACCACTCGAGGCATCGTGTTCGCTACACCCACTGAAATAATGCGTGGATCGGCCGAGAAAGTAAAGGAAATGGAGAAAAACAAGAAAACTGTTTAGTCCCGGGAAAAATTCCTATTTTTCACTTCTCGCCGCGACAGGGAAACCACTAATTATTTCTACGTGGCCACCTTTCTTCTCATTCATTTTTCTTACGCTCGATACGAACTGCCTGAAAGAATAACGACCCCATTACTCTCTCAGCGTCTCCCTAATTCGTTCCAGGGCCACGGCGACCCCGAACGACCGATTAATTAAAGTTTCCATTTTATTTGTCACAATAAAAAATAATCGACGCGTTAATCGAGGGGGCGTATGAATAGTTTTGGGAGGGAAGATATTGTTCCTTAAGTTTTTACGTTGATACCGGTTCTAACTATCGGGACACGCGATGTTACAGGTCAGAAAGGCGAACAGGGACTTGCAGCAGCTGTCCCGGCACCAAAGGCGCGAGATCGGTCTTGCGACGATGTTGCTCTGCGTGGTGATCGTTTTCCTGATCTGCAACATCCTGCCGCTCGCGTCCAACATCCACGAGACCTTCCTGAACGATCCGCCGATCTGGTTGGTGCAGACGGGCAATCTCCTCGTGACGATCAACAGCAGCATAAACTTCATCATCTACGTGATTTTCGGCAGGAAGTTCAAGAGGATATTTTTGAAGCTGTTCTGCAGCTCGAAGCTGTTCGGGCCGGGCAGGGACAGCCCGGAATTCCAGACGTACGACGAGTCGATCATCACCAACATGACCAACATAGAGCTCAGGAACTCCATCAGGCATTACCACCCGAACAGATCGAGCACCATCAGCAGGAACAACAACGTCTCGAACGGTAGCACGCGTCAGAGCTTGAAAGCGTCGGGGAGGCCCGGAAGTCCGGGTCCCTGTGTCTATTATCCCGGAAGAAGTCCCGTCAGGAGCCCTAGTCAGATGTCCAGGACGTCCAGCACCCAGAACGGATGGAGCAAACGAGACGCGGACTCCACCCTGTAGCGGTTCTAATTCCTCGAAACAAGTCCAAGAAACCAAGAAAGTCTTTTGGAACGGAGAACTTTTTAAGTCTCGCGATCGTTCGTAATCGTTTAATCCTTAGGAAGACAGGTGCCAGTATCCACGACGCATTTCGATTCGAATTTCACGACGACCAGTCTGCGACACCTAAAAAACAAACAGAGTGCGATATGAGTACATCGTCTACATTCAGGGCAGAAGTAATTGTTTCAAACTATCATACAAAGGTTCTGGTAAACCTAAATCTATATTGCAACAGTTCTCAAGCCCTGTCTGCGATGTTTATCTCAATAACGAGCTTCAAAACCGTACGAATGGCTGTAAAGCAAAGTTCGAACTTACCTCAATTTTTGTATCACCTTTCCGTGAACTTCTATTCCTTGGTTTATCATTCTCGAAGCCTTTACACTCGCTGTATCCTAATGTTAACACTTTGATGGCCGGACGATGGCGATTTTACGACTTTACGACTGAAACAATAAAATCACATTCGCGTGAGAATGGCCGTCGAAGTGTTAACGCGAGGAAAACGTTCTATTACCGTTTCGTTCAACAAATTCGCGCGACTGCTTCGTTTCAGCGTGAAAATAAATACGAGTCTCTCTGCGAGTGTAAGGTCATCATTCTCCGAAGCTGAAAATGATAACAGCGATTTAGCAAGGGGATGATGAAATTTTTTATGTCACCCAAACATTGTGATAAAGAATCGAACGAAATTATTCATGGTTTATCGTTAGGCTGTTAGACGGTACAGGACGAATGATTACCTTATACGAGTAAGGACTTAAATGTAAGTAGGACAATATGATCTTCGTGTAAAAACACACCCTCGATATTATATAATACACCGTACTTTTAGTGGATTGTAAATACTAACCGCAAACTATATTATTTTGATATGTTATCGCGCCCAACGCCGAGACTTTTCCTCGATACACGAATAACTATATCTATGACATCGGTTTCCTTCACGAAAAAAAAAGAAAAAAAAAAAAATACTATGGAAGAAAGAAGCGACCAAAAAATGTAGATTTCCTGTTATTCTTAGACGTTTAAGGGCACAGAAGGATTCGTTTGTCTGCAAATGAAAATACAAACGCGAATACAGTATTAAGTCTCCCTAAAGCTCTGTGGATCATCCAACAAATGCGAATAATGTTTAAAAACTCGTTCGTCTTCGCATTTGAAAGTTATAATGGAACCGTCGACGTAAATGTTTTTTCGAAATATTTGCGCAGATGCCTGGTCGAGATCATCGAGGCATACGAAACAATTCTGTTGATCGTAACGCACTTATTATTCTGAAATATTATGGTGTATCGCGCGAAGAAGAAAAAAGAAAAAACGAGTTCTTCTTGTACCAACGCACCAGTTTTGTTTCGAGAAATAAATACGCAGTACGTTTCATTATCATTTTTCACGTCGTTCGAAATATTTACATTTTATGCCTGTTACGTGTTTTGTACTTCAAAGAACCCATACCGTTCACGTGTGACATGAGAAACAGAGGGGGAAAAGTTGCAGCGGATATTATTGCGTCTTCTGGTTTACTACACCATGGTATTTCAGAATTAAATACAAACGTGTACCTGAAGCTATTTACTAAGTAGATCTCTTAGATTCTTTTATATTCTTTCTCGTAAGCGTAAACGTCGGTATACTTTCATTAAATTATACACATCTTGTTTAAAAGTAAATAAGTATTTATCATTTCATACTACGGAACATACTCTCGGAAAAGCGCATAAATCTTTTAAAGTAAAAACTAAACATTTTAAATATCATGCGTACGTAAAATAAATTGTAAATATAAGAATTTAAAATGTTCTATGCTAATTTTTGCTAGATACTAAATTGTACTATAAACGACTCTTTTATTGGAGGGGGAAAAAAAAATGGAAAACTAAGATGCAAGGCTCTCGCGGCCCGAGTCTATACTCGAACTCATGGCTTCCGAATGCATGCCGCGTTTAGGTTCAGCGATTTCCATCCGGAAACCATGAATTCGAGGATGAAAAACTATCCCATTCTACACGAATATCAAAATTTAAATTTAAAACAGGGGGAAAAGAAACGCTCTCGTAGCTATATGACAAAAAATTACATGAACTATACGAATATACATTATATTCTAGTCATGGAATTTCTATCAAAATATAATTATATTGGAAATCTTTGTGATTACGTATGTATATAGAAACATATATGTATAGCCAAAAGGAAACACGTCGTCATAAAAATAAACTCTATGAATTACTTGTACCAGTTTTGTTTAATTAATGCCAACTGCTATGTCCGACGCTAAATATAGTTGAGGAGTTCTTGTAGGAAATTTCATAAATGCCAAAAAATAAATTTTCTCAGGACCTAGAAAAGACAGGATATGACTATAATTAGTGCTGATTATTTATTTAGTTTTACTTATACATATGTGACTAAGGATAGATTACCTGAAATGCATAACATTTTTTATCTTTCAAATTAATTCGGTGAAAATTCTTGTGGAAAGTATCATAAATGAAAGTTTTAAATAGTTTAATACAATAGTCTCTAATTTGAGTGCAATTTCATTTCTTTAGTCATAAATAATCAAGTTTAATCATTGTATGATTTATAACAAAGATAGGAATAAAATTGCACTCAAATAACGTACCATTGCTTCTTCGTTAACATGTGTAAAGATTTTTTTAAAAAAAAAAACTTTTTTCAATTCGATACTTGGACTATCTTCCACAAGAAATGATTCCACGCTATGCAAAAGTAAAGAACAAAGTTGTACGCTTGTTCTATATTCAAAATTTATTTACTTCATCGCTTATGAACAATTTCAGATACACATTGAAGTATATCTATGCAACCTTGATAATTAAAACTGAAATAGATATGTAATAGTGGTAATATAACAGCATAAGATACTACGACGTTTGACGCACGAAGATCACCAAAATAATCCATCAACATATCAATGAGAAACGGTCCGGAAAAAAGTCTGCTTCTTCTTTATTTTACAACAGGGCTATTGTACAGAGATTATTATTACATAATACATCTATCAGCTTTCATCGGCGACTCAGTTTGCGGCCTTTTTCTTCGGTTTTAAATAGACGTACAGACCTATGAGAGCTAGACCACCTAACGTTATTTTGGCTGCCTATAAAAAGAAATAATGCGTTTAAAGATTTAAGCAATTGCGACGAAACTTTCGGAAATTTTAGGATGCAAAATTAAGTAACGTCGCAAGACGACGGGAAGATTTTAAGGTTACGTACACCTGCACGACCACGATCGGTGACACTGTTGTAGTATTTCGACAAGCCAGTGAACTTTTCTTCCGACTCTCCGCCAGCCATTGTTTCTTTTACAAAGAAAGAAACTTCGTCCTAATGTACCTACAATCACAGAAGTGAAAGAAAAAATGTCACTTATTCAACGCAGCTCGAGTACAGTAACCACCTACAGTTCGATTGATACGTTACGAATACGACAGTTTTCTACATCTAGCCGCCTAGTTAGGATAAACCACCGCCAGAGGGAGCATCCTACATCCGCTACATAAAAAAAGTCAGAATAAAAATTTTTTTTCCAATAGTTTTTGTGTAAAGTAAGTATTAAAATGTTTCTTTAGTCCTACCTATAAATTTTTTAAATATCAAGATCGATAGTCGGGATTTCACAACTTTATCTTGCCAATTGCATGTACTTTTATACGCAAGCGTAACGCATAATCGTATTATTTAAAAAGAACGAATAGGATTGGATATTAATCACGCAGAAGCCGTTATAAAGAACTGTATAATTTATAACTGTAACGATTTATCGTTTAATTTATCGTATTAATTATTTATTTAAAAAACAATATATTATCAGTGTGTTCCCGTTTTAAATGACTCGTTTTTTAAAATAATTTGTCCGAAAGTGTATTTGATTTTGATACGTTGTATAGTCAAGGTCATGAAAAAATTGTACGTTAAATTTAAGTCGACGATGGCGCAAGTGTAATATGTCTTATTGCTAAATAGACATAAAGGATTTTTAAGTTAGTTTCAATTATTATTTTTTTTTATCTTGAATAATAAATCATAGATAACGAATAGTTGTATTATTTTTAATAATTCATTCAGATTTTTCAAATAACAAAAAAATTACTTTTTCGTTTACGTTCATAAATGGTATTTTCTTGATAATTCTATTATCAATTTATATGATTCTAAATCTGTATTTCATTTAGGGTCGTTTTCTTCAACACTCCAGCGGAGAAGACAGAAGAAGATAGAGTTACAAACATATGTTTAATATGTAAGTGCATATATAATATAAATATTATACATGATAAAAGCATTGAAAAATAATATAGCATTTATACGACTATGTACTTAATAAAGTATTCGTTTCATACAACTGAAATAAATATTACTATCACTTTAATAATTCGATATGGTATTTTCTAATATCATAAAGTATTGTAAAATAAGGGAAACGTTTTATTATAACTATTTTCTCAATAACAAACAAAAAATTGTAACTTCACAGTTGTATCAAGGGATTATAAAATATCTGTCATACTTTATCAAGGAACATGTAGCCCCATAATTTATATCTATACTCTATTTTCAATATACTGCTTCAATTGTCCATACGCACTTAAGATCAACTAAAAAAAAGTACACATTACATGAAAATAATACTCATGGAAATTATTACGTTTGAGCGTAGTAACAAAATCAGCAATATTTACCGAAATTTCGTGCGTAACAGATCCATCCAAAAACTCTTTATTTATAAAAGCGTTATGCATTATGCATATATTTATATCCTTTTGTGAAATGAATTTCAATTTAGTCAATAGTTTCACTATTGATTTTAATGATATCAATTGAAGATTATTAATATCATTTGTTATATCTTGCATTGTCTTTGGAAAGATACTAAAATAATATTATATTATATTATTGTTTTTTACATTATCCGAGAAAATATGTTTAAGGGAAAAAGAGTAATTTGCATTAAATTTATAATATTTACCTGAAAAATGTTATATATTCTATCGAATATTGATTTTTATCAATTTCTTCGAATGGTACATGTATGTCAACAAAATGTAAAAAATCTAACATACACGATACTGTTTGAAATTCAGTAAATCTCATAAATTCATCTACTAACAACCACCCTTCTCCTTTATGGTGAAACAGGTAAACCGTCCGCTTAGGTAGTTCTACAATAAGAGAACAATTATACTAAAACAAAATAAACCGATAATCAGCTAATAAATTAATGTAGAACGTACTAATTGTTTGGTAAAATATTTTTCGTTTGGCAGATGAATATGTTTGGCATATAGGGTTCTTGTGAACATATGTGGATTCCTTGGAAGTGGGCGATTTCCAAATATTTCTTAACTCGCTTTCTTTTGAATATAAATTCTTTACTCCGAGATTGTCAATGTTAACTTGAACCTCCGTATCTTTCACAGTTACGTTTTCCGAACTATTCTGCCATTGACTATCGTTGCATGTTATCTCTATATCTTTGTTTTCCTTAAAATATGAAGGATATATTGTACCATAACTCTCGCATTGAATGTCAACTCTATCTTCGGCCAATTTAATCCTCTCTCTCGCATGTATGTCGCATATTTCGTTTAAATTTTTAGTCAGCGATTGTTGTCTAGGCTCCGCTTCGTTATTCAATTGTTTTAAAAAGGTAGGTGTGTATAAAGCGTGCGAGGTAGATGGTCGAGACAAATAGCCTTCGTCGGCGTTTATATCACTCTGTGCTGTCTGTATCACTGGTACCGATGGCAGAAAGCTATTAAACGGTAACCATAACGAAGACACGCAATTATTAGTATCATCGTTTTTACTTATGCTATTGTAATTAGAAATTCCTTTCGACACGGTACAATTATTATTATATGTAAGTGTAGCTTGATTAAAATTAGCAGCGTTATTTGTAAAAAATTTTGTCTCTTCGTTTATTTTGTCAATAGTCTGTACGTTATGATCGACGAATGATTTGTTTGTCAATGAACTACAAGAAACTGGAGCAATATTATCCTTGTGCTCTTGGTCCATAACATGCTCTTTTGAGCTAATTCTGAGATACGAGGGTGTATATGCAAATGTGTTGTAATTGCAATGTGGAGTATTCAGTACATTTTCATTATTTGTTTCCACATGTTCCTCCGTTTCGTTTATGTTATTAATACTGTGTCTTATAAACGGATTATTGACAATAATTTTCGACATATTGTTAGAAAGATTATCCATCGTCCATGTGTAATCGGTAGAAACGGATTTTCCGTTCAATGCAGATGAATTATTTTTATTATTGTTTGCGTTACTAGAACTATTGGTATCAAAATATTGGTGGTGATTGAACGACGCATCTCTGAACAAATTCTCCGGAATATTATGGTTTATGCTTTGGACGTTAGAGTTTTCTTTTTTACAATCGATTAAATCATGTTCAATAACTAATTCTTCGTTTTCGTTCAAAATAGGTGTCAAGCGATTAGAACTCGAGGAATCCTCTTCCTGCGAGTCTAATATTTGTAATTCACCTAATAAACTAAGTTTAAATGGATTTGTCTCTTTAAAAGGTCCATTATTATTTCTAAGTTTTTCTAATGGCTTTGGCACATCGACGGCCGTATTATGATTCAGAAAATAATTTTGAATATCTAAATTAAATTTCGGATTAATATTTTCAAATCCTTGAGGTACATTTTCGATTTTGTATGTTCCCTTATTTTCCAAAGATTGACACACTGCGTCAAAATTTTCTGCAAAGATAAAGATGTTAAAATATATTCAGTTGAGAATATAATAATTAAAGTAATTACTTGGATTAAGGTTTTCATTATGAAAGGAAAGTTGTCGATGATTTGTGGTAGGAAGTTCAGAATTCTCAGTAGGATACCCAAAATTCATGAAGTAACAATTCATAACAGTACCTTTTAGATTATTATAATTATTTGCGACCGAGGATACGGTATCGTTTAGTACCGTTTGGATACTTTTATTAGTATGCGTATACGTATTATCCGTTATATTTAGAGTGTTTCCATCTTTCGCTGGATTATCGTCTATGTTCATATCAGACTTCTTTATTACTTTATTGAAAAGTATATTAAAAGTTGCAGCTATTTGCATTTGTAATTGTAAGTTTTCTTTCCACAATCTCATGAATTCTTTTGGTGTTATCTCAGATACAACCTGACTATCATCTTGCAAGAATGGATTTGTGTTAGTTTTTGTTGGAGAAAATACAGTGGATGATAAATCATTCTTAGAAGTTCGAACTTGTAAATTTTCTTCCTCGATAGTTATTAGTTTGTTCAATTCGTTGGATAATGTGCGTTCAGCCGTAGACACAAAAAGCGTATCATCTAAGGTACTTTGAGGTGATATCAAAGGCATGTTCTTAGACTCTTCGTCGGTCTTAGATATATCAACCTCGTCGGCATAGCATTTTTCCGGTGAATATAGTAAATTTTCTTCCACATAGATCAACATATTTTTCATATCGACTTTATCGTCCTATTAAAAAAAGAAGTAACAAAATAGATCGCATAAAGTGATGTTTCATGAAGTACGTACGTATGTATGTAATGTATATGCAAATGCTATTTGAAACATACCAATTTGGGAAAAAATGAATCACTTTATGTGATCGATATATGTATTGTAATGATATTGGTTCACAGTAAAATGTACACAGTTGATTTCCATGTTACAATATTTTTATTAAAAGAATGAAAAATGTTGTACATACAAGTGTTGTGAAAACATAAAGGTCATATTTTTCCCAAAAATGTAAAAAAATAATCTGTTTAAATATGTTACAAAAATATAATATTTAAGACTTTGGTAAACATAACGAATTAAATTACTCCACAAAGTATCACTGTACATTCGTAATAGTATTTTAATACGTATGTATCTTAATTCTTCTTGTTGAAAAATTGTCTTCATTATTTGTTCTTAAGTTCATCTCTTTACGTATCAGAGATGCCTGATTTTCAATAAATTCCTCGTACTGATCTATTATATTTTTAGATTCAGCACTTGATCGTTCGGTATCGTCTGTGATTTTATTTGCTGAATATACGTCTTCGTAATTGTTACTTTTCTGCTTCTGATAGTTGTGTACATTATTTGTATCTTCGATTAAATCTGAATCCTTTATTTCTTCTATTTGCGAGCATGTATCAGGCTTACAGCTCAGATGATCTTCGATACACTTATTCAAAGGATGATTGATTCTTAGAAAATCGTACATACCAGCAAACGACATTTGTGCGTCCCACTCTTCTTCATCAGATTCTAAGTCAATGTCATTAAAAACTGGTATGTTAGAATTTTCATTGATTGTGTCGGGTGATGATAATTCACTCATTGGTATCAGTTCTGTTGATGTCAGTTTTTTCACAGATAATAGATCTTTCGTTTCTTTCGATTTTTCCATTAATTCTTGCGCTTTCAATACTGATTTTTCTAACAATGGTACTCCTGTAATTACTGATTTTATTAAAATTGGTTCTCTTCTTAATTCTTGCGTTAACATTGGTTTAATCAATGTTGGTTTTTCTGCCACTACTGATGTTTCTGGTGATACTGGATCTTCGTGGAATTCATTTGTATTACTTGTATTCTTAGATAATTCTTTTTCGTTTCTGACTATATTTTCTGTCTCGGTAGAACACGAAAAATCTTTACCATTAATTTTCGAATCAAATTCATTCGATATACTTCGATCAATGCTTGCATTATTTTCATACTCTTTCGCGTCAGATTTCTCATCGCAGTTACTGATGTTTGCTCGAGACGATGTAAATGATTTAACACTTAAATCGTCCGAATCTAGATCAGAAGTATCGCTTGAAACGTACCGTGTCGTGGATAGTATTTGTAATAATTTCTTTTTGATAGTATGTGGCTTTATATGTAGATAATAATTCTTTGGCTGAGATGCATCATCAACAGAATTGCTTTGAAATTTTTTAATACGAAATATACGATCGTCTGTTAAACAGCTTGGATTATCGGCAATTAGACTGTTATCGGACTGCGAGGAGCTGGTAGATTGTGGTTCGTTCGTACTTTCCGAGATATTTGTTGATAATTCCAAATTTTCCGTAAACAATTTCTTTTCTGTTAACGTCTCCAATACTTTTTGAGGAATAGCAATTACCTTTTCTTTTGTTTTATTTGCCATATATTTTTGAATGTTTCTAAATATCAATGAAGATTTGTCTTGTAATTTATTAATATTTCCAGTCGGCGACCAACGTATATTTTTATCATCAGCAGCAAAATGAACACTTTTATGAACTAATCTTAGAAAGCAACTTTTGGCTAATGGTACTTCGTCTCGTTTTGTCGGCACTGATTTATGAATTCTTTCTATCACGTTCTGGTTTGGTGTGTACTGTTTCTTTTGTACATCATGCTTTAAAATAGCGGACCAATCTACATGTTTAAACTCCGTATATCTATTATCTGTATTACACATTCCCATATAGATTAAATCTAGCTCATCAGAATCTTGTACAGAAAAATGATGAGCATATATTTTAGGAATATTGGTATATTCTTTTAAAATATCACACTCTTCATTTCCACTCGATACTTTGTTTAGTTTTTTGTTCGTTTCTGAACTAGAACTTGAAGATCCATTGATTGTCACATTATTATTAGATTCTTGGTTACCATTATTACTAGGAATAGAATTTTCTGAATTCTGCTGAATTTGAAATAACTTCTTACGTAATATCTTTAATTTTCCTAGTGGTGTCTCTTTAAAATTTGGATTACAATCGCTTATATTTTTGTCAGAAGAATCATTTTCAAAGGAATCAGAAGTACTAAAATTTTGTGATCGGTTATTCGTTTTTTGACGAGGTTTTAAATGATTTTCGAGCGATGATATCGTATCAACGCTCGAATCGTACAGTGCTACTTTATTCTCAGAAACCATCGATTTAGCAGACTCTATTGGTTTTACAATTTTGGAAACTTCTGTTATATTACATTTTTGTTTAGCACGTTCTTGACATGTTAAATAATAACTAAATGTAAAATTTCGTTTTTTCATACAAACCATTTTTCCATGTCGTGCTAGTTTTTTCTCAACTAACCAATCATTGATGTGCACATCTTCCTCTTCTGACGTGTCAGTCAAATTTACCAACATGGAGTTGTCCTATTAAAGAATAGCAATTTGTCACAAATTAATAATTGTTCCACATAAATAACTGTCGGTAATAAACAATATTACTTTTACTTAATTATTAATATGTAAATATATTGTATCATTACTTCTGTATCAATTGTTGCTATTGTTGCGATCAAAGGTATCTGAGATGTCCTTAATGCAAAATGATGTGTAGCACTTGCAGACCATTTGGATCCTATATATGGCTTTGTGTTAACTAAACCACATGGTATTGCTTGTGCTGGTATAATTGAAAACATTCTATGCAAGTAGTGTATCTTTTCTGGAGGATATGTTTTTAATGTACCATAATCATAAAACATCACCTATGATAAATTGATATCAGTAACTGTCATTATTATAATCATGATGAATACAGTTTGTGCCATTTTTGTGTACCTACAGTAACATCTAAGTTAGGGTTGACTTTCTTTATTATACCCCTATGCCATATTTCATTGTACATACATACACAATTTAAGCCCTTTTCTAATAAAACTGGTGGCATTACATACTTCTCATGATTTTTTGTATAAAAGTCACTACAAACACATAATCATTAATATACAAAACAGTTAACATCCAACAATATTGTACATTGCAAAAGATTATTTTAATTATACGTACTGTAAATCATTCATAAATGTTTTAAATACTTTTTCCTTTTTACGAAGCTGTATCCAAAAGAACGATGGAGTGAATACTTCTACAACATTAATTTCAATGTAAGGTGTCTCTGCATTTGCTAATTCTACAACATCCAGTTGTCCTACAGTTTCTCCGATTGTTACTATACCATCCGGTATTATTTTCTTACACGTATCAAGTGACTAAAAATGTATAGATGTTAGACCTCTATAAATAATTAATAAAATCTATTACATTCGATTTAAACAAAAACTGTTTACCAATGATGATGGAAGTGCTTCAACATCATTATCTGATTCATATATGTAATGTAACTGTGCAAGATTATCAACTTTTTGCGTTCTCTGCGATTTAATCGAAGGTATTTCTCTTTTAGCATAATACAGCATGAAATCTCCTGTTTTATAAGGTTGTACGCAATGAAAAATGTTGGATAAGTGCGATGCAAATTCCCTAACACTGTTAAAACCATATTCTGCATAATTCAAGGAAAATTTGTACTCCTCTAAATATTTTTGTGGAAGATCGGCACACCAAATTCCATCAGGGTTATTCTGAATAAGTTTTTCTAAACGAAATTGAACTCTTCGATTTACAATAAAATCAACATTTTCATTGTCCGAAGAATTTTCTTTATCTGGCTCTTTGTGAATACTCTTTTCTGGATTATTGGATTCTCTGTGAATTTCTAATTCAACATTGTCATTGTAACCGTGTGCAGTATCTAAATTATTTTGGTCACTTTGCACTATTGGTGTATATTCCAAAGTTTTATATTCTGCAACTTCATGCTGATACTTAGATACACTTTCCTGTATAAAATTAGATGTAGATTTAGTCCTTGCTGTTGCACAAGATGAGTCAGGCATGGAAGTGGAAGGTATAAATGCAAAATCATCTTCATCATTATAATTAATTATATTGTCTGAATCCTCATCTCCTCCAGCAGTCACCATAAGCGGCTTAGAATCACCATTTCTTGCCATATTTCTAATCGGAAAGAACTTATTACTCGTTTGACCAATCCTATGTGATAATCCACGTAATTGATCTTCTATATCACTCATTGCAATGTTTACATGAGGCACTTCTGTCTGGATATAATTTAGTACAAAATCCTTGTTCACGCCATCTGGATATTCGTTAACCATACAGATTACCCTTGTTAATATCTCAGTAGATACGAGAACCCTTGGAGGAGGAGTTGTTGGAAAGCAGAAACTTGGTTTATACACCTTTCTTCCACTTTGGCATCTTTGATATTTTTGATCAGCTACTAACTTACTAACATGTTTTGTCTTATCAGAGGCAATACCTTTTACAAAAGGTATACTGTTCCTAAATTCTATTTGAACAGTTTTTGACAAACTGTGCACAAAATTCAATAAAGAGTGGTATCCTAAAGGTTTCCAGGGTATTTGTTCACCTTCCACTTCATTATAATCTCTGGACAATTGAGATAATGAACATCCATCTTTTCGTGAAAGCAATAGCGCTAATATCGTTTTCTCAATGTTCTCACGTTTTTGTGAATTCGTTTGCATGTTCAACGGTTTATAATTCCTCCAATTTAAATTAGGTGTTCTCGTGCTTTCGAGTAAATCGTTTATGTCCGACTTTACCTTGCGTAGATATAATTCTACCAATTTATTAGAAAATATGTTTACTTCGATTCATTCGTACGCATACGAACGCGTTTTCTAAATACACCAAAGCGAATGCACTATAATTTCCGCCAAACTTTCAGAATTGCGACGTAACTGATACATTTAAATCTATGTTTGAAAATTATTTGAACAGCTTAACATTGGCAATTAATATAACTCGAATAATTTACAATACCCATATTTTTCCAACACTGTATTAAAATATATTTTTAGATTATGTTGCGTAAACTACGAAATCACCACGCGGCAGAATTGTACGGTGCTTTGCACAAACTAACCTAACCATGCAACGAGCATGCGATATTCAGCAAAATTTGAAACTCTTTATGACTTCAGTGTTTCCCGCTTAAACTATCGAATGAATTGTGATACGCGATACTCGACAATATTGCGGTCGAAATTTAAAATTTATAATTTATGATTCGGAATTCCTTTCAAAAACATAGTACATTCGTGTAATGTATTAATTGATAAGAAAGTCTTGCAACAGACATAACAATAATATTGAAACTTTTTTTCTATCTATTATTTATCACATGTCCTAACTTATTGAATAGATACTTAATGAACCTTGGCCCATTGACTTAATTTATGTTAAACAGAATAAAAGAAACCAAAAAACGTAAGCGTTACGTGGTGTCAATATCTTATCCGTTTAATGGGCATGGCCCCTTTGCCTGGCGCCGATTCCCTTTCCAGTACTCCCTAGTAAAAGTAGGGAGTACACGAAGTCGTGGGGAGAAATGTAGGGGAATAAAGAGTTCATTGACAATTACGGGGGTGTGGATCGAGCGGGAAGGCCGCAATCAGTTTTTTCCTGACAACGTTGATAAAGTCATTTAAATAAGTGTAAAATTAGTTAGGCCAGTTGTGAAGTAGATATCGATACGTTTACTCGTTGTATCTACCCTCTGTCGCTATAAAAGATGGCACCGTTGTGTTTCGAGGTGATCCTCGTCGGTTTTATTCTTGTGTTACCGTTCTTATATGAAATGAGCAGGGCATTCCGTTACTATTTCAAGTTCCTCATTTACTATGGATGTGTAATGGTGACTTCAATCACCCTGCTCCCGATCATGCTGTTACGTCCATGGAACGTAAAAAATTTCATGTTAGTAATTATAATGAATCTCGTAAACACAAGATTTATTGTTTTTATGTACTTCTATGCTTCGGTATTGCTTCTTCATCTACTGTTTTATTATTTATTATTCGTCTATGCGGACAATACGTTATCGGACAAATTTATTGAACGATGGTGGTATAGTATTGCAACAGCAATTCCGATACAATGGTAGTGGTTAAAGTGCTGGTAGGGGTAGTTTGAACAGCTTTCACCATGCACCCTGCAAATGTCACGCACGTGACGTTTAAATTAGGAATCTGTGTAAATTATGGAATCGACCACTTTTGTTTAAATTTTATCTTGACGCCAATGATCACAACGATGCAGAAATTTTAGTTTAATTTTTAATTATCGAACATTCAATTTACGTGCCAATTACATGACGATGGTTCACATTCACGCGATAATAATAACAATTTTTCGATTGAAGATATCCTAATTGGGTCAGTCAGTTCACTACTTTATTTATAGAAGAATACGACGTTCAAGGGCCCTTTTTCTAAATTCATGTAAATTCTTCAAAATTTTTAAATTAGGCGGGAATATACTCGTCAATTAGGCGGGAATATTTTTACGTTGCTTTTGATGCAATATTTTACCGTAAAGGGTCGAAGTATCTAAGATAGATTGTATAAGAAAAACGATAAAAAATAGATACAGGTAACTGTTTAGTACAATTAACAATTATTGTAATAAATATTATTTTTTTAAGGTGATGAACAGTGCAATGTTCATCTTGGAATTTTTTTATTGTTTAATGATCTGAGCCCTTAACACAATGTTTTGCAATCTTTTGCTGTTAAAAAAGAAAAGAAAATATCACTGGTATATTGGTTTTATATGAACATGATATGTAGCTTTCATAAGCACTTTTGTGATTTGTAAATTTAATATTAAACTACCATTTGTCAATAATTTTGCGACTTTGTTTTTATTATACTCGCAAACTATTTAATTTTTATTAAAAGTATTGTAAAAAATATTTTAGATTAGCATCGTCTATGTGTTCCTGTTTTACTAACTTCTTGGGAGTCCGTTGGGAACTCAGGGGGAGGGAACATTTAGAACAAGACAGAGCATGTATAATAGTAGCGAATCATCAGAGTTCTTTAGATATAATGGGAATGTTTCAAATATGGCCAGTAATGGACAAGTGCACAGTTGTAGGGAAAAAAGAGCTTTTTTATGCGTGGCCTTTTGGGCTGGCTGCTTGGCTTTGTGGATTGATATTTATAGATAGAATGAATTCAGAAAAGTCTCATCAATGTATCAATACTGCCACAAACCATATTAAAAATAAAAAGGTAATATTTAATTTTTACTTGGCATATTTATTGTAAAGATTTATTGAATTATTTCTGGACGGTATATATTAATTTTTATGTGTTCTTCATAGATTAAACTATGGATATTCCCTGAAGGTACCAGACATAATACTGGTCAGATTCATCCTTTCAAAAAAGGTGCCTTTTATGTTGCTATTAATTCTCAATTACCTATATTACCAGTTGTATTTTCTTCCTACTATTTTTTGTCTTCTAAAGAAAAAAGATTTGATTCTGGTAAGTCTTATAGAAATACTTGGTTAAATATACATATAAATGAGATATAAGATTAAATGTAGATGTATATATATATATATGTATTTCGCTCAAAGGTCAAGTTATTATAACAACATTGCCACCAATATCTACAGAAGGTTTAAAAATAAATGATATCGGCCATTTAATGCAAAAGACACAAAACATTATGGCAGAAGCTTTTCAAGCAACTAGTTGTGAAGTACAACTTTCAAGTACTTCTATTACTTTCTAAAGTAAAATAATAATTCCAAGGTAATTTGAGTAACTATTTTATCAGTCAAAACACAATGGTAACTAAGTCTGAGATTGGAAACTAAAGACTATTTTTCTATTTTTATGTTCCATTATTTTAGTACTTGTAGTTTTAATATTTTATGAGGTGTTCATACCATGTGTAAATTATGTGCAAGAGAATACTCAGATAAGTCTTATAATAACATTTCCTTTAAATTTTTAATAACAATTTTTTAACGTTAGTAATATTTATACCTTACTTTACATATTTTATCTTTATTTTTTATTTTAAACAAATTTTTCGATCTCATATAATGAACATTACTATAATAAATGCATGTACATCACAACGGACCTTTATATAAAATTTGCGAATTTTATACATTTATGAAAGTATCATAAGCTTTAATGTTTTCGTTAAAAGATTAATATAAAAATCATTATATTATGGTGCAGCTTTTATAAGGATAGAGATTTCTAGGAATGAATGGCAATCTCAATTTTATCTTTGAATTGTATACATTGTTACTCTAAATGTGTTTCAGAAATGTTTTAAACATTAATGTCCATACATATGCAGTAACCATTTAGGTATTAGGCTTATAAAAAAAACAAACTGCAAACAGTTTGACTAATTCGATTGTTTAACAGACAAAAACATTTGAGTGTATATCTTCATTTGGATAAACCGTACAACTGAATCTTTTTCTCCCTATACATGATTGTTTTAGCAAAGTATATAAAATATATTTGATTTATATTTGATATGTTATCACAAATCTATTACATGCTTCCACTCGTTCATGCAGAACTAGTACTTAAATTGGTTTAATTTCTAGTTGCAAAATTTTGTACCATTTTAGCATACCTTTTTTATTAAACTACATTTCTTTGAGTTATTTAAAATTTTTCAAAGTTTAAACAATCGTGAAACAAAATTTCGAGTGTAACATTAAAAACATTTTTTTCATTTATTGTTGTATCAATACAATTCATACACTGTGATAACATTTTTATTTAGCGTTAATATCATTGTAAGTATTGATTTCAAATCAAATTGGAACTAACATCTGTTTCATAGTTTCTTCTTAGATTGACTGGTTCTATAATAAGTACTTCATTTAATCCTGTAATGGCACACCACGAGTCATATTAGGGTCTTACAGGTTTGACCATTCCCGAAAAATCGTGTTTTCACTCTTTTTGTTATACTAATATGAATATTGAACATACTTCTCACTCTTACACACTGGTGTCTTCCACTGATTTCAATTTTTTTTCGTTCTGAATATAGCTTGTATTTCATTATCACATTTATCTAAGTTATACTAAGTTTTTTTTTACAGATTAATGGTAATCTCGTAAAATAAACCACTTTTTATTCATCTATAAAAAAGTTTTGCTAAGATTGTGAAAGTGCCATTCCAGGATTAAGATTCATTGATATTATTGATAGTACTTAACAGAATTAATTAAATTTCATTAGACTTTTGTAGCTTCAAATTGAAAATATTACTTAAAACGTTTGCAGATTTTTTTTTATTATCGTCTCATTATTAAGAACACAAATAGGTAAAAATTCTAAGAAGATATTATTTCAAAACATTGAACATTGAAGATATGAATATATATTTTATAATGTTTACATGCAAAGAAAATATTAGTCATTACAAATATAATTTTCAATGAAAATTGAATGCTGTAAATAATACAGATTTTTGTTAAAGTATGTTTAGTAATATATATACGATATAATATGTATATTGAATTTAAATGTTATTTTTATGATTGGAAAAATAATTATTTTTGGTCTCATGCTTTTATAATTTAAATCAGTTATTAGACAAGGTAAAAAATTGTATGACTGTGTTTGTATTTTAAACAAAAAGCATAATTATAAGTAATTGTAAGTCCATTATGCTGACAGTCTACATACAGTCAAATAGATATAAATATCAAGTATTTGTTGTAACATTCAGTTTACAGAAAACTAATAATTGTATTGATATTTTGAGGATTTGGTAATGACTTTTCAGGATTTCTAAATTTACCTAATTTTTTGTAAACGTGTTAATTGTATTACATTATTTCGTATTTACGATAACTAAAGTACTTCGCCATACTGTTATTTTCTCAAAAAGTACTGTACTTGTAAATTAAATAGAATTCATAAAGTTAGGTTTTTGGAAACCTGAAAATAAAATTGTATACCAATATGTTTCAAATTTAAATGACCACAATATATTTATCAGATCAAATTCTTATAGAAATTAATCATTAATTATCATCTCATTGTGTCATATTTAGTCAAGTAAAAAAAGTCAATTACAAGGTACTAAAATAGAAGGTTACATAAGTGCCAAGATGTTTTATTATTGGTTGAATTTTATTAATTGTTTCAATAGTATGTGTAAAAAAAGATTAAAGTTTTAAATAGCAATAATGCAGGCTTGGTATTTTGCCAACTTCTGCATCACAGAAGTGGAAGTAACATAATAGAATTAATAAAATTCTGCTACGGCTGTGTTATTATTACAACATCTCTACCAATGTTCTGTAATTATTATTACATATATAGAAAGGAACATAAGAAATGAATAGTTATAATAATTGCAATACAATCATGAAACACTATTATTTGCCTTAAATATGAAAATTAATCATATTGATTGTCTTTTGTATATTTTTTATTGTAAACAATTTTAAATAACGATGTACACACAGAGAATAGCTTATTGCGTGATCCGGGAGTAAAAAAGACCATTACATGCATTGAAAATTTGTATTTCTTTTCTTTTTTTATACTTTTTAAACATAGCCATATCTATGGAAAAATCTTTTGACAATACTGTAATCGATGAAAGTAAAATAAATTTCAGTCAACTGAGATTAATATATTTTTTATTCGACTATGAACATAATTTTTTTTCATACCTAATTTATAGGCCTAAAAATCTGTTTCCTTAATAATAATCATTTAGATACTTCTTTTTATCATATTACTTACAACATACATATAAGTATACCTATAATGAACATATTCAAAATAATGTAAGCTAGTTATTTTTAAACTTAGATTTTGTACACAGAATAAACTACATTTATTTTTTACAAAGTATTTTTTTTTTATAAGGATCTATTAAATAAAAAAACTTAAAACACATAGACATACAGTTAAGAATAATTTCATAATGATCCGGTTGCTACCATCTTCTCTTCACTCTCTGTCCATGCTTTAGCTATTATCTTTTTCATTTCATCATCACCCTCATTGTATATTTTTCTCATTATATTCATTATACTGGCATTAGGATCAGTACCAATTTCTGGAACCGTAGATGTTTTCGCTTTCATCATTCGCTTTTCTACTTCGGTCACATGCGACCATGTCTTTGCAACTTTCTTCGCAAGGAATACAACAACCATGTCTGTTTTTACTTTCACATTACTGTTATTTACATCAATCTCTTCGCACAGATTGTTAATTGTTAAATTGTAATTTTTGTTATTTAATCCAAAAACATTGAGATTTACAGATCTCTCTGAGAAATTACAAGTCACGGCCTCTTTGGGCAATTGTTGTACATTTTCCAATGTAACATAAAGTTTCATCGTTGTATTCGTTTCATCCCAACAATAGTTATTTATCTTCACTTCGTAGCATTTATTGTCAGAAGAAGAAGGTGTTGCATTAGTCGATGTTGCTGTTGTTGTCTTGGTTTCCTCGATCAATCTTGTTAACTCTGTTTGTAATTTTCTAACTTCAAGACTGAGCGTATCTTTGGTTTTTTGTCGTACTGCTTGCTGAAGTAAGCTCTCAAGTTCCTCGATATCCAACCTTAACTATAATAAGTGAACGCGGTATAGAGTCACTTCGGATATTATTATTTAAAGTAGACGTTAATTTAAGTAACAGTTTAGAACGTTTGCAATAACCATTAAATTTTTCAAGTACCGCATGTATATTCAAACAAATCGTTACATGCGATTATACTAATATTTGATATTACTTGGAATATAGGTAAGGTTCATTTCATAAAAATATTATTATATCTCTATATTTTTGAATAAAAAGAAGAACAAGAAACGTCATACGTACGTTGTCAACTTTTGTAGACATCGTTTTTCTTAAATTATATCGCAAATCTAATTAAAATGAAGTCAATAACGAGGACAAAATTTAACGTTCGATAAGTTTTTAGACAGTGATTAAAAAAATTCCAAACAGATTAAACTATTCGTATCGCTTTCAACGTTCCAGTTTTCACTCTTCGACGATCGAGTATCGACTGCAAACTGCAAACTGCAAGCGTTTTGCTAACTGTTCGACTACACTCACCATAGTATAGAAATTTCTGGAAGGTTTTAAAATGTTCCAGAAATTTCAGTAAAGATGCATATTTTGTTTATTTTCCATTAAATGATTAAATTTAAAAGTACGCTTCGTTAAAAGATACTCTTCGTTATTTCTCGATCTTTATTTTAGTATCTATAAATTAAAATAAATATCAGTCTAGTTATACCTTTGGATTTCTAGTAATATACGATATTTACACAGTTTTCGTGCAAAAAAAGAAATGTTTTTTAATTATCCCGATTAAATTCTGTTTGCTTAAAAGGTTAATAATTATCGTAAAAGTTTTGATTATTATTATTATTTGATAAAATTACGGTCCATGGCCATCGAGACGCGAAGTACTGCAAAGCCATTTTTTGCACCCCATTGGTAACGGTCCTGGGTAGATTGTATTATAAACTTTGTTTCAAATTATTGTTTATAACACAAAATTGGACACGTATGCCTGAAAGAAGCCTTAGTTGTTATTAATAATAAAAGAAAGAAAGAAAGAAAATATTATAACTCGTAAGACTGGAGCTTCTGTGACGTGCTACTGGATATGCTGTTGAAAAAGATTAATTGATAAAATGGATAATTGTAATTTATCAGATTTATCGCAGTCGGAGAAGCATTCGGAAGAGGAAAAAGTTCATAAACGTCGGTCCTCGATTTTTCAACGCCGTGTAAGCGTATTCAACGAATGTATAGGTTAGTTTCCACTTACGCTTTGTTTATGTTTCGATTTTGTTATACCAACGGTTACTTTTAAATCAAAGCTATACGATCTGGTCCTAATGAAAACTTTATAGGCGATAACGATAACGAGGAATATGTGTCCAAAACGCAACAAGAAGAATCTTTCGATTTGGAAGAATATATAAATAGCCTTAGAAAAGAGAGGAAAGAGTGGATAGAAACATTGAGGAAAAGAAAAGCAGAACGGAAAAATCTCACAAGGAAAAAGTTGTGTTTACAAAATGGACAGCCTCTGGATCTAACTACATTGTCAGATTCTGAGAAAGATTTTATTACGGCTCGTCCAAACTACCAACTCATCTGTAAAAATAACAATAAATTGACAGAAACGGCTATAAAAGTCTCAATTTTATACAGGATAGTGTATCAATTAAATAAAAAATTTATTTCGCAAATGGAGAAAAGACTCGGTAATGTTACACATAAAATTATCGAAACATCAGAGTCATGAGATTACAAATATCATAGCATAGATAGAATAATTTTTTACATTATACAAATTTACTACAATTTATTGTAACTCGCAATAAAATAAATATATTTACATACTACGAAAAAAGTAAACGTTTAATTATGTACAAAATTAATTTATACCTTCTGTATATAAAAGTTAAAGTAAACTGTATGACAAAAAATCGTATACTGTTTATGTATTTAAAATAGAATTATTTTTCGTTTGTTCAAAAGATTCAAATATCATTGTAATTAAAATTATATGGAGATTATATTTGTATCAAGGCAACCATTCGTTTCAAATTCTGATTGCTAATGTTTTAAATAATTTAAAATGGAATACAGAAACCAATAGAGTTGTCATCTGTGCAAGTGAAAACTCTTACGTCTTGTAGCTTTTCTTTCTTTTTGAGACAAGTATTCTTTTCTCGACGTGCTACTATGTAACTCGAGTATGTGATTTATTTTTGTAACGATCTCTTCGGCAGTTAACGAATCAGCCTCGAACTCGTGATTTTTGAATTGTCCGCCGGACGATACTGCAAAACGACAGTATTCTTGGTACAGGACAATAATTTCTTTGCATATACCGAGTACATTAGATAAGGTAAAACAAACCTAAACTATTTTCGGAAGAAGAAGAATGTGGAGTATAAATTAATGTAAAAATTGTTTTCGATCCCTTTGTTTCCGTTATCTCGCACCAGGCAATATTGTCTATTTGATAACTAACAGCTCGTTGCCTGTTCCAAAAACGTCCAGCACCCTTTCCTGTTATTATCGGATTGATTTCAATTTTTTCACCAGATATTCCTATGTAAATTTCAGTCTTTGCTCTGACTTTGTTAATTATGTACACCCTGTATAAGTTTACATTCGCGTTAATTACGAATTATTACTTAAAATCGATAACATCTATACAACGAAAAAACACCTATATGATTGGTACAATGGGGCTTCCATGGCAGTTGTATGGCCTTCCATTTTTGCTAAATCCTCTGCAACTTCTTCCTGTTCTTTATTTTTACCCTCTAGATAATCCACCTCATCTTTTATTTCTACGCGTGTAATCATATTATATCGTGCTCTGTCGCTTGGTTTCATTTCCGTTAGACCTAGCGTCGTAAACTCGAATTTGGAAATTGTTTCCCTTGGATCTAAGCAAGGCAAATCCCAATCAACTTCACCGTCGTCCTCGGTGAAGTATAACCCGTATCTTGTGATATCTTCTCTAAAAACATTAGGGTAAAAGCATGTTTTTGCAGCAGTGTATAGTACGAATAATAAACATAAGTTATAAGGAATTCACACTTCAGGGAATGATCCGGATGTTCGATCGCGTATTTGTAGCAAATCAAGCCAATGAAATCCAATACTTTTGCAGTAACAATTACAACTATTTGAAGAGGATACATTCTCTGCTCTTTGGGTAACATACACATAAAAATCCTGTACTTTCTGATAGGAATATCTACTTGCGTCTGCAATAAATGTTCACATAAAGGGCAGCTTTAATCAGGAATACTCTTACAAGTGTACAAAATAAATTTATACGTACGCTACCGTCAAATTTAGCATACTCTATGAACAGATTTTGCGGTATATTTGGACACTTCTGTAGTTGTTCGGATAAAAGAGAATACTTTTTAGTTTGACCAGTCTTTTTACGAAAGTCTTTTCTTTGAAATAATTCTGACTGTTGGCTAAGGGATATGGCAGGATTAGTTTTCCACTTTACGTTCACTTTGGCAGCTTTTTTCCTTTCAAGGTCCATTTTCTCTAATCTTTTAGCAGTATTCGAACGTTCCCTGTGACTGTATTCCATATCTGTAACAACCACGAAATCACAGATCTTCTAAAACGTCTACGTTCATTTTTTCACCACTTCCCCGATGCTTTACTTTTTACGAATACAAAGTCAATAAGCATAGTTTTCTTTTAGCCGGAAGGAAGCATGATTTTTCCAAAGGAAAGATTACCCATTTGTATGTCATACGATTCGACAAGGGCATCTAGATCCTCGTCGTCGCTTTCTTCCATATCAGGGTAACACTGCAGCATTCCATTCGATTTCAGTTGTTTAGGAATATCTTCTCCGACCATGACTACTTCGCACTGACCTTGAGAAATACAGAACGTTGATCCAAGAAATAATACGTGGTACGTGCTTTTGGAACGTATCAACGGGAAAATAAACGTACGAACAGTGTATCAAAAATCCTGGATGGTTAACCTAGGTAGAATTTCATGATGTACCTGTATTGTCGGTCAGTAAAAAACTGTCTCGGATGTGCGACAGGAGCCAATGTTCATTGTCATAAAACGCCATCGCTTTTATTTGGCTGTTCTTAAACCGTAGAAAAATTCTTTGGAAAATTCGTCCTCTATTGTCTAGACGAGGTCTCTTCAGTCTTATGTGGTCTTATCAGTGCGGCCAGATTTGACATAATTGAGTGCATCGACGGCGACATTAGTAACGACGAACTTCCTTAGTGTGTTACGGAGTGGTGGGGAAAACAGACGTGTGCTCGGCATTTCGCGCAACTCCGGGGAAATTGAGAAAGAAGGCGAGTCTGAGCCTTTCCTTCTTGCTCTTCCAACGATACATTTTGTAACAATTAATCAATTAATACATAAAGGAAGGGATGAAAAGGGTGACTCTTCAGTTTCTTTAATGTCTTACGTATTTCTTAAACTTTCAGAGTTTACAAAAATCAGAAATATTCAGGACTTTCAAGATTTTCAAGACTCCGCCATTTTGCAGACTCGAGTCGACTCGAAGCGTTTGAAATCCCATCGTTGTTCACGAGGCTTGACAAATTGCACGTATCGTATAATTTGAGAATTATTTTCGTCGAGAACTCGCACAGCAGAATATTCGTTTCGTGTTCTCGAAAGAAACAATCAAGTCGAAGGAAGTAATTGCAACGCGCGGCCCTGATTTTGAAGTAGAAATCGGGATGGAGTATTCAGCCCGGGGTTAGAGGAGGAGCTATCTACCAAGAAAGAAGCGCCGAAAGAGGAATGCAAAAAAACGGAGAAAATGAAGCCTGTGGCTCTTCGTCTTCGAAAACACGAAAAAAAGGCCTGGTCAGTGATTTTTCCTCTCACGTGGGACACGTGCCAACCGCCATGACACTCGCTTTAGTCTCCGGAAGTCGCGAAGCAGATCAAGGTGAGATCTATCCGGTGAAATAATTTTTCTTTTAAGTTGTGTCTATACCGTGATGTTCATGGGTGTAATTAAACCGTCTCTATTAAATTTTTAGGTATGTTATTGATCCAACAATGGTTGACAAAGTTTCCAACGTTCTGTCGGTAGAAGCAGGTCAGCTGAATTTTTTCTGAACTTTTATCGGCGCCGATAAGATCAAGGAAGTAATCGTTCCACTATAAAAATGTCGTTCGGTCGGGGAGGGAGATCAGACGACGGTAAGATACTACGATTGCATTGTTATGGGGGCCAGTAGAAGGAGAACGTTATGGCCGGACCGTGCGAGCTTTTTATCGTATTGTGTAGTTTATTCCCGCCGCATTACTCATGGCGATTAAATTAGGGATTCGGTATATCCAACCACCTCCATTTTTAACACCGATCCCTATCGATAATCCCTGAACGATAACTCGTTTCAACGCCTCGTCAAGATACTATAAACTACTTCTTCTCGCTTTTCCTATTTTCATCGCGCGAGGGTACACATCGTCGCAACTAACTTATTAATTCCCCATTTCCTGCACTTTCAAAGGCCGCGGCGAGCAACGGGGAACACGAGAAATTAAATTGTTAGCGGCACGTTACGCGTATCGTCGCCCCGTTAACGCTCGGTGCTGCCATAACGCGCGCAAGATCGCAATCCCGGCGTGTTTACCATGTTAATGGAAAACCTTATTTTCCAGCGGAATGAAAACGAAACAGCGATCGTGATCGTCGACGCGATCAAACTTTTCATTATTTATGTACCTCGCCGTGAGGCTGCCTCGATAAGGATCTGCATTTCATCGATACTCCGCCTCAAGAAGACTCGGGAGACCGCCACGGACAACCTCCGAGAGACTCCCCGAAGAACAACACTCGTTATTAAATTTGATACGAGCGTCTCCGTGTCTCCGGTGTCGCCGTGTGTCGCGCATTTTCAAATTTCGTTCGCCCGGCGTTCCGTCACGTCCATAGGAGCTTAAACTGTTTTACACGGAATAAACGCAGATTACATTTTCCAAACGAACTCCGTTAACCATGTATCGCGAAATTAGCACGCTCGATCCTTATCTTTTCATCCACGTTTCTATTTCTGTACCCTGTTCGTTCAGAGTTCAGCAAATCCGATCCTCCGTTCGCTGGACGTTCATTTAGATCGTGGTTTCCGAATTTTGCGAATTTCGGGACTGGTTTCTGTCTCTCTCTCGCGCGCGCGCGATTCTGTTTAATTACCGCGGTTCGCGTGCAGCATTCTGCGTATTTATTTATGGCCGAGAGCCACTGTTTTGCAGAGGGTACCGCGGCACAGAGACGCGCACAGCGGGCGTACACACGTCCCTTTAACCACCGTATCCGTCATCCGTCAAGCAGGTCTCGGCGCGCTATAGTGGAAACCCGGGAGTCCTAAAGTAATACGAAGAACCCTCGTTGTCGTCGCGGTCCTCGTCTGGCGTCCTCGACGTCGCCGCCGTTGGAAACTTCACCGTGTACCGTAATAACCAGGTTACAACTACAAAGCCGACAATTAACCGTGCCGGCAGTCGGGCGCCATTCGTCATCCTCCGCGTTACCGCCGCCGGAAAATATCACCGAGATTTTCACCGTGAAATATTACTCTGGGATTAACGCGATAACTCTTTGAAGGGCGGTGATCAGTCCGACTAAATGCTTGAAATACGAGCCTACGATCATCGCCGGAAAGTGCGAGCCGCGTTTGGGAAAACCAGCGAACGGGGAAATTTATGAAAGGCGTCGCTGTTAGGGAGCGGAATCTCGTCTGTAAAGTATCGGAAGCTCGCCGCGTAAAGCACGACGATGGTCGAAATTACAAGTTACGCTCATTTTTCGCTCGTTCGTTCGTTGTCTGTACAACGAAATTATGTAATAATTTTTATCGTGAAATACTTCGATCTCGCGTGTGGAAATTTATCATCGACGAAGTTTCGGGCGTTTTACTAATTTCGGCAAAGTCTATGAGCCTGATGCGATTGTCCTGTTTGCAAGCTCCGGCGATGTTGCGCGAGAGTTCCTTAGTTTCGAGGAAACTGGACCATAAATGAAAGTCCCCCTGGACGCGTGGGGCTTACGATGCGTCAATTGCTATTGAGAGCACCACGGCTGGACTGCTCCCCGGAGAAAGTTAGGCGATATCTTCCACCTGCACCCAGCTCCTCAAGAAACATAACAAGCGGGAAACGATAGCTATAACTATCGGTCGCTAGCGAGCTCTCAAACGTCGCGTAAACCCAGCCACGGTATTTTTTAAAGGTTTGCTACGTTTGCAATGAAACGCAGAATCTTTGCAAGCTTCGAAAAGGTTGAATTATTTTTGTAAAAATAGCGCTTCCATATCAACTTTTCGAGTCACAATAACGCGTTAAAGTGCTCGCTGGTTTATGCCGTTTTAGAGCTCGACCACACGCCGGGAGAGAGCCTTTCCGCGTTCGTTCTGAAAGGGTTAAAACGTCGCGCTGGATTTCTGCGAGCACGAGTCGCATAAATTATTACACGTATTTTCATAGTGGTCGCAATCGCTAACCACTATTTTTCCCCCCTCGAAGTATCCTTTCTCATTCACTCTGCGCTTGACAATTATTCGAAAAAGGAATCTCAGCGTCGATCTCATCAATTTTTCTCTGCGAACGATTTTAGTCTATAAATTTGTAAAGTTTTCCAAGTATTTCAAGGTCGCGTGAAATCGGTGCCGCGGCCCCCAATTTCGATTAATTACTCAGGAAAGATTCGAGGCTACTAAAATTCTCGCGGTCGACCGCGAGAACCAGGAACTCGTCTAACTCGTCGACGCTTTCGATCCAATATTTTCATAAGGCGGGCGAGGGGGGAAGCTTGCAATTCATCTCGCCGGAGTTTACGGATTAGATCACGCCGAAAGTGAAACTTTACGGGCGGTACAGATGTAGATCACCGGATGCGATACCCCGTGGAGCCCGGGGGGGAGGGGGGGGGGGCGAGTTCTCGACGAATTTCGAATTTTACGCGGGCGATATTCGTCGACCGGTTCGATGAAATCGCCGCGTAAAGCTGCCGGTCGGTAATCTTAGCTTTTTACGCGTTCCCCGTTCCTGAAACGGGGGTCGTTCGAACCTCCAACCCCCGTGGAAAACGTAATCCCCTCGAGTCGCGGGGAAGTTTACGGGACCAAACGAATGGAAGAGCCACTTATGAGAAAACGTTTCTCGCTGATCGCCATCGAGAACGAAAAGACCGGATCGCGTTTTATTAAGCGTTTCTATATTTATGGTTATCGCTCTTTTCAAGGAGGGAGGGGGGAGGAAATTAACCCGTAATCTTATCTTTTTTCTTCGACCCCCCCATCTCGAGTCTAATTCGTTTAACGACTTTGCGTTTTTTAATAATCTTCGTCTTCGATTGACACGCAAAATGGCGGGACCATTCTTTCTAATGCTCGTGGCGATACTAATGGATTCGACAACGGGGATGAAAAGACAGTGGGGAAGGTCGCGTGTTTTGGAGTCTCCTTTCGAGGTACTCGTCTTTTCACGCGCGTGATATTAAAATGGCAGAAAAAGAGGAGCGAGGCGGCCGCGAGGGTACGTCTCGCGACGCGTTTCATCGAAGAAAACGGCCCGGTGGCTCGAAAAACGCGAAACCGTGCGAGTAGTCGCGCGGATAGAAAGAGGAGGACACGGCGCATTGTGCCCCACGGATATCGTGCACGAACGTTGCTCACAATCTTGATATTACGATTCCCGGGCATCGCGTGGGGACGCTCGATGCTTTTAGGAATATCCCCCGTAATATATGGCCACGGGGGCGAGCGTCTAAAGACAGGCCAGACAGTCTACTACTTCTCACTGTCGGGGATAAGCGGGATCTTATGGCGTATTACGATAAATCGTACGAACGACCAAACACGAATCCTTCCTTATTTATCGAATGGTACGAGAACAGTTCCATTTTAAAAAATTGTACAGCGAGGTTTCGATTTACTCTGTAGCTGTCCCTCTGTACAATACTTTTAAATTAGTTTCAAACATCGTCCCGAAAGAAATTACAAAGTAAAGGGGGGAAGGAAGTAAATAAATAAAGACGATGGTCCCCTTAACGCGCGTATACGGACCAAGCTCGGACGGAGGATGGATTCCAGGGGTACGCCGGGGAACTGGAAAAAGCCAGAGGCTGTGAAACAGTTGAATAGGAAACAATATGCGACGCTACCAACTTGCCAGAAGAAACCAGCCAGCTACGAGTGCCACCCCCTTTGTTACGCCTCGAGGCTATTTGCGATTGTTCTTTCGCTTCCTCTCGC